CACTGTTGCTCAGGCTGGTCTTGAACTCCTGACCTTGAGCGATCCTCCCGCCTCGGCCTCCCAGAGTGCTAGGATTACAGGCGTGAGCCACCACGCCTGGCCTTAAAAACTTTCTTAACCCATTCTACAGATGAAGATACTGAGGTACAGAGAAGTGGTCTGCCCAAAATCACAAAATTACATCATGGCAGAGCGAAGATCAGAATCTGGCCTTCCTGACTCCCAGTCTCAGGCTATCCCACAGTGTAGCCTCCCCAGTGGCAGGCAGATACTAAGAACAGAAAATGTGTCTGGACTCAGCTTGGCCTGAATCAGGGACCAACCCACTTTCTCTAGGCCTCAGGATGCCCTCTGGATGACATAGTTATATTTGTGCCTCTGTGAATGGTCTTTGGGTGCAGAGGACAGCCCTCCCCGGTTAAGGCTCATTGTATACCTGCTGGCTCAGACATCTTTTCCTTTTTCTGCTCCACCACAGCCCACGATGATTGACGAGCTGTATGAGCTGGTGGTGGATGCCATCTTCGGCTTCAGCTTCAAAGGCGATGTTCGGGAGCCATTCCACAGCATCCTGAGTGTCCTGAAGGGACTCACTGTGCCCATTGCCAGCATCGACATTCCCTCAGGTGCTGGGACCCAGAAGGTTGGGGATGATTGGGGCCCTACCCTGTGTCTGGAGGCTGGTACCTAGGAGCCCTGATGAGCCACAGCTTAGACTGTGTCTAAAATAATTTGAATCTAGTGGGGCATACAGCTTTCTGGATCCCACATCAAGGCTGGGGAACAGTCAGGAGCCCCCTTTACATGTTGGCCCCATGAAGAGACCAAAGCCCAAGGGTATATGGAGGTCATAGGATGAAAGTTCCTCAGGTGGGGACTGAGAGGGCCTCCTACTCCTTTAGGACTAGAATAAAGCAAGTTGTGGAAGGGGACTAGACGTCTGTCCTTTTGTTCTTCCTGAACACCACCCTCTTTTCAGGATGGGATGTGGAGAAGGGAAATGCTGGAGGGATCCAGCCGGACTTGCTCATCTCCCTGACGGCACCCAAAAAGTCTGCAACCCAGTTTACTGGTCGCTACCATTACCTGGGGGGCCGTTTTGTGCCACCTGCTCTGGAAAAGAAGTACCAGCTGAACCTACCAATCTACCCTGACACTGAGTGTGTCTATCGTCTGCAGTGAGGGAAGGTGGGTGGACATTCTTCCCAGAAAAGACTTAGTGCCATTCTCTCCCGGAACTGTGGAGTCCTGGGAGCTCTTCTGGTAATAAAGTTTAGTGGGTGGCAGGAGCCAGAGAGCAACACTGGTGATGTGGTGCCATCTGTCTAAGGGAAACACAACAGGAAAGAAGGGTTGCTATGGCATTTGGAAGCAATGAAAATTGACTGTTGGATGCCCAGTGAGGTGTGCTGTCCTTTACACACAAGTGATTCTTACTCATTCGGGACACAGATAGGGAGTTGGATGATGTCTCGAAGCTACTTCCACTTCTCAGTGTAGCAAGACTACAAGGAGGTTAGCAGAAAGAATTTCTTCAAAGGCCAAGGAAAATCTACTTTCCCAGGCTGGGAATGGAGATTCCAGTCAGGATTTATCTGTAGGCTGTGAGCCCAACTCAGTGTTTATTCATTCATTTGGTCATGCTAGAAACTGGCAACCTGTGGACTGACTCTAGCCCATAGGCTTAAATTTGTTGTTTTTCTTAGCCTTCACAAT